TCTCATTCCTTAATTTCAATAAATACGGCTTCCAGGAATTTTTAAATTAGCATCTTTTTTGACACTTTTAGGTTATACGAAAATGTTAGTTTTAACTCAATACTCTTTTTCTCAATATTTTTTTTATTCAACCCATCGATTGTTATACATCGATTTAAACAGAAAGCTTCAAGCTTCAATTTAAAATAAGTTTTATTTCTTAATTTCAATAAACACGGTTTCCAGGAATTTTTGAATTAGCATCTTTTTTGACACTTAGACTATGCGAAAATAGGGGCATTGCATATTTTGCTAAAATTTTATTCCAAAGGCCTTTACTGAGTGTATTTTGATAGCGTTTTAATTCTGTGTGATTCTGTCACAAAGTTTCAAAATGTTTGACTTCTTGGGACACAAAGGGTTAAAATTCACTAAAGAATCACCCCTTGAAGTTTGTTGCAGTCATTCAGATACACCTGTATACAGGGCTAACATTTTTTTTTATGCAGATGATAAATACATTAAAAAAATTTCATTTAGATAGATGAAAATATTCTAAAACTTTTTTGTCTCTGTGATGTTCTTCGAAAATTTAATAATTTCTGAGAAAAGCAACCACTAACTGTTAACCTGCAGGGTTGTCAATAGAAAGTTGGAATGAATTTTAAATGAAAAAATCTTAGTAGATTTTGCAATTTTTCCAGAAATATTTTTGACGTTTAAATGTCAGTGTTTCTTTTATTATTATTGTTTTTAAAATCGGATTAAAATACAAATTTTACGAAGGTGCTCTGCTTTTAAATGGGTCACACTGTATATAAGTATTATACAGGCTGCCCATTATGTATGGAATATAGTATACAGTGTGTCCCTGGATAGGTGAAACGACTCTTATAAAACGTAATTTTTTTTTTTCGATATTAATTGTCATTTTTTAGGGTTTGGCCCAAAGAATAAGAACCAACTTTGAAGGCCTATAACTCCTCAGGGGTACAACTTAGTATAGAGATAAGTTGCATTAAATCATCTTAATTTATTGTCCTCTATATGTCCCTGCTCTGTGTTGGTTCTTATGTGAATCACCTGTATATTTCATACATAATGGGCACCTGTATTTAGATTAGAAGAAATAAATGAATAAATAAATGTTTTCAGAGTTACATTAGCTTAATCATCCAACCCAGCCAACAACAAAACCTTTGTTTCACATTCATTTTCAAATATTTCTTTCAAAATCCTAAATTTTGTTTATTAATTTATATTAATAATTAATATAAAAATTTAAGTACTGATTGTAGATGAAATAAATCTTAGTTAACCATTAAGGAGATATTATAATAGAATGATATTAAACATTTTCAACTTCATTTAGTTGTAATTAGATTTTTGGCCAAATATTCATAACTTCCTAACACTGTAAGCGGTCCTATAATTTTATGTTAAAATTGCGGAGAGAGTAACTGCGCTCCTCCGCATTTTTGGTATATAATTTTTTTTTTAATTCTACATTGGTGTTACCCCTTAAACATCATTTAATTGTTATAATAATAATTACTTCAACATGATTTCCAGAAGATCGTCGTTTTTTAGTTGCTGGTTCTCCCTGAACTCCATCTAAACTAGGACGTAATTTTTGCCAATTCTTAGCGACTTTTGATGTCCCATCGAAATCATCCTCAGACATTGAATAACTAAAGTCCGATAATAACGACCCTTAAAAATAACGAAAATAATAATTTAAACAATGATAAATTTAAAAACAAACCGGTTGTATTTCCTTCGGGGATAAAATTTTGGGGTGGACTAGTAATGCCAATGTTATGTTCTGAGATGTTTCTCATCCCAGGAAGATTTAAATTATCCCTAGCTTCGCGAGGAATGTTATTCCAACAATCCTTAGTTAAAATAGTCCTCAATTTTAATAATTGAGATAACTAAAAATACAAAAATTAATTAAAACCAAATAATCACACCAAAAAAATAGTCTTACATATAAATCTCTTTCATTTTCAACTTTATCAACTTCCTTTTTTCTCAATTTTTTCTCCTGATCTAAAAGTTTTCGAGCAAGCGACAACTTATTTTCAACATCGCTTAATTCGTGCGTTTTTTTATCCAGCTCAATTTGTAATCGTTGGCACTCAACATTACTTTCCCTCCATTTCTCAGTTAGCAATATAAAATGCTCTACATTACTCATAAAATGATCCTCAATTTCAGCGTTATTCAATTTACGTATTGATCGCATTAATTCATCGAATAAGGCAACAAGCGACAATACATTAACTTCTCTATCCTTAGAACTACTTGCTACTGATTCCGGGTTACTGCTAATGCTGTCTTCGCTATCAGATTTACATCTTTTTACCGTCCCTGTGTCTGTTTTAAGCTTACGTTTTGCGGTAGGCGTTTTAAACTGTCTATGTACAGGAGTTCCAGTGTATTTTCCATTATAATTATAATTCATTTTGGATTGCTTTAAACTTTCTTAATTGTTTGGTTATAACTGTGTTCTGATGAGTTATATTATTATAAAACTGCATATATATGTATCTGTTTTTGTTAATTTTGCACTCGCAACTTCTTTATAGTTAACGTTATGAGATAGATTCACTTAAAACGGCCGTTATTTTTTTAGTGCTTTTTGGCAGTTGGAATAATTTTGAAATGTACCAATAGGAACAAGGTTATGTTGTAACCGTTGACACTACCAACTCAAAAAATAAATTTATCGATTTTGCTTAAAATTAATGTTTTAAATTATTAATAATACTTTAATTTTGTAATTTAATTTGTTGTTTAATGGTAAACGTTCTTATATAAATAAATAATTTTTAATTTCAAATTTTAATGAGTATTTAGTGAGAAATTATTGCCAACTTAAAAAAAGTGAATTAATACATCAAATTGTATAAACAATTTTATTTATTTATTTTTGCAATAAAGTTAATAAAATGTTTTAATACTTAATTGCTGTTTTTAGTTAAAGAAATTAACATTAAATGGTATTAAATGCACATCGGAAAGGAGTCGGATATCGAAACAACTTGTGGAATAAATTAATCTGAATTGGTTGAAATAATAACAATATAAATAGCATTATTAACTTATTATTAATTTATTTTTTTCAATCTAANATGCTTTAAATTATTAATAATACTTTAATTTTGTAATTTAATTTGTTGTTTAATGGTAAACGTTCTTATACAAATAAATAGTTTTTAATTTAAAATTTTAATGAGTATTTAGTGAGAAATTATTGCCAACCTAAAAAATATGAATTTAAAATATATGAATTGTATAAACAATTTTATTTATTTATTGTTGTAATACACTTAATAAAGTGTTTTGATACGTAATTAAATCAATATATATGTTTTAGTACTTAATATGTATATGTATAAATTGGTTGAAATAATAGCAATATAAGTAGCATTAATAAAATGGTTAATGTAATAATATTTAGTAAATATCGGTAACCCGAATGTTTCTAGTTTTAGGTCTTGTGTTAGTTCTAGCGATAGTGCTAATGTAAAACTAGAACTAACACTAGACCTAGAACTAGAAACATTTGGATTTAGCCGCACGTCTTTGGTTATTGGTTGGGCTTTTTGCATTAAAAAGAAGATACTTTAATTAATAATTGGTGATATTTCCACCAGGATCCTTCAAGAAATTAATTTTTTAGCGAATTTTGAAAATTATCGATGAAAATTGCAACATCGAAAATTTTATCAAAACTTCAAATATTGTTTTCTCAAAAACTAAAAGCTATTTTTCAAAACGGGTTGGTTCATTGGAAAGAGGACACTTTTATTAACACTTTGAGATATTTTCAAACTCATATTCCAAGAAATGGATTTTATACGAATTTTTAAAACTTAACCGGCGTAAATTGCAAAATTCGAAAAAATTGTCGATCATTTCAAAAATTTATTTCTCTAAAACTAAAAGTGATTTTTCAAAACGGCTTTTTACGTTAAAAAGAGGATACTTTAATTAATAATTAGTGATATTTCCACAAAGATCCTTCAAGAAATTAATTTTATAGCGAATTTTGAAAATTATCGATGAAAATTGCAATATCGAAAATTTTTTCAAAACTTCAAAAATTGTTTTCTCAAAAACTAAAAATAATTTTTCAAAACGTGTTGGTTCATTGAAAAGAGCACACTTTTATTAACACTTTGGGAAATTTTCAAATTGATATTCTAAGAAATGAATTTTATACAAATTTTTAAAACTTAATCGGCGAAAATTGGATAATTCGAAAAAATTTTCGATCATTTCAAAAATTTATTTCTCAAGAACTAAAAGTGATTTTTCAAAACGGCTTTTTGCATTAAAAAGAGGATACTT